ATCCTCATGTGATATGTCTAATCGCCAACATGAACATTGGGTCTCTTCACAGTCTTTGGAACTTATAGATGCTCGCCGGCAAATTCCGGCTGGAAGCGAACACAATGAAACTCGCAAAGAGCTTCGGGCGAAACTCCGTGCTAGCCTGAAGAGAGACCGCGAATTCTGGTGGTCTCGTCGTGCAACAGAGATGGAAATGGCCGCTGCCCTTGATAACCATCGTGAGTTGTTCCGTCTTATACGGGAAACGGGCAGCAGGAGACCTGGTGTTAGTGAAACCATACGTAACGAGAGTGGACAGCCTATCCACAACTTATCAAAACGCTTAGAGCGTTGGGCTGAGCACTTTAAAAGGCAATTTAATCGGTCGGAATTGTTAGACTTATCGCCGACCAGTGATCGCCCTGCTCAGTGGGTTGTTCCTTTGGATCCACCCTCTCGCTCAGAAGTCGAACGTGAGATGGGGCTGTTGAAGTTTAATAAAACCGCGAGACCTGATGACCTTCCTCCAGCCCTCTTCAAATTCGGGGGACCTGCTCTTGTGGATGATTTACACGAGTTACTACTGAGACTGTGGGAGCAGGAAACTGTCCCAACCGATTGGAGCCGCTCCATCATAGTCCCAATTTTCAAAGGAGGCTCACGATCGGAATGCGGCAGCCATAGAGGAATCAGTCTGATCTCCATCGCCTCCAAATTGCTTGCCTCTGTCATCCTCCACAGACTGACTGGCGCTCGTGAAAGCCAGATTCGTGAAGAGCAAGCTGGATTTCGTCGAGGTCGTAGCTGCATTGACCACATCTTCACCTTGCGTCAGTTGTTGGAGCACCGTCACATATATTGGCGGCCCACCGTTGTCGTGTTCCTCGATATCAAAGGTGCATTCGATTCGGTGGATAGACATGCACTTTGGGACTGTCTACTCAGGAAAGGTGTACCTGAGAAATATGTAAATATTATCCAAGCATTATATGCGCGTAGCACGGGCAGATTGAGGGCTTACGGCAAGCTGTCTTCCCCTTTAATATCTCCAGTCGTGTGCGATAAGGATGCCCGCTGTCACCTTTCCTCTTCAACTTCGCTGTTGACGAAGTCATGGAAATCGCGTTTACAGGACACGACTTAGAAGGTGTGGAGCTACTCCCAGGAGAACGACTTCTTGACTTAGAGTATGCAGACGACATTGCCCTCATTTGTGACAGCTCCCAGACGTGTCAAGCCGCGCTGGACAGATTAGCACTGGCTGTCAGTCGCTTCGGGCTTTGCTTTGCACCACCGAAGTGCAAAGCGTTCCTCCAGGATTGGCAGGGTTCGCCCCCTGTGCTGACCCTTGGTGGGGATCAGCTAGAAGTCGTTCAGAAATGCAATTACCTGGGAAGTTGTATCAGCGCCCTTGGGATCGAAGACGAGATCACGAACCGCATAGCGAAAGCTCGAAGTGCTTTTGCTAACCTTCGCCACCTATGGCGACGGCGCGACATTACTCTCGCCCTGAAGGGTAGAGTGTACAATGCAACGGTACGTTCGACCTTACTGTACGGTTGCGAAACCTGGCCCCTAAGATCGGCGGACCTGAAGAGGCTAGTTACGTTCGACCACCGGTGCCTTCGTAATTTAGCTCACATTTGGTGGGAACACCGCGTGAGCAACGAGCGTGTTCGACGCATTGTTTACGGCCCAGGGAAAGGATCTGAACCGCTCAGCACCGTTATTTCACGCATCAGGCTCCGATGGCTCGGCCACGTGTTACGCATGCCAGCCCACCGACTCCCACGAGGTGTGTTGTTTGCGCGCCGGGGGTGTGGATGGAAGAAGAGGAGGGGTGGCCAAGCGATAACTTGGTCCAGAGGAATGAAGGCCCTCACTTCTGAACTGGCCTCGGTTGGAGCGTCTCGGCTCCCTGGTTGGGGTCCGAAAGACGATGAACACGTTTGGTTGGACACACTTGCTGATATGTCTAGGAGCCGACCTCAGTGGCGTTCGTGCTGTGAGTTTCTTTGTCCCACCCCATCCCTCTTAGCCTCCCCCTCCAACCACGATCTCATTAATTAGCCTTATATAATTTTGCATAGTAATTTTTTTTGGGTGCACAGCAGCCGGCTGGTAGCTTACCGGAACGATGCCCATCCGTTACCGGTAGCTCAGCCAGCTTTCACCAATTGTTTTTTCTCTCTCTCCTTTTTTCTTTGTATTGCGGCACAGTAGCTGAGGTGTTCCCCACCCCTAGCTAACGTGTATGATAATAAAAAAATAAATGTCACAATACTTGGACACGCCAGGGTCAAATTATAAGCAAAATTATATGGATGAAACTATTCCACGAGGTCGATGGAGAATTTGTGAAGAGCACTACCTCCATTTGAACCTCCACATCAGCCCAATAATAGCCCCACAGAAGCTACCCTAAGAAAATATGTTGACGACATCGTCCTGGGTATCCATCACCAAAACGCCGATTGCTCTCTCAGGTTGGAAAATGAACGGAACGACCTCAATAGCTGGTCCAAAGCTCCTCGTCTGTCTCTTAATGAATCGGAGTATCATAAGGTGCTTTTCTCGCTACAAATAGGAGTCAGGTAAGAGCAGCTCCCTATACAATGCCCCAAGCAGCTTAGTGACGATGGATTCCACTCCGTTACACCAGTGAAGTAATTAGGTATGGTAGTTGAAGTTCTGCCAGGTGACCGACTAGCAATTCTTAGGTACGCGGACGACACAGCCCTCTTTGGGTCTGACTCAGGTGTTGTGTAAACAAACTGATGCGACTGACGTGTAACGCTGCACGCCTCGGCATGTGATCTGCACATTCAAAGTGCAAAGTGTTGTGACATCAGTGGTCCGATCAGCCACCGGTGTTGATTGTCCTTATAAAGAGGGCACTTCAAAGGCTATCCGAAGGGTATTAAACAAAGAAAAAATAAGGATGATTTACCAGAAGGGTTGAACGGTTCATTCGACACAGGTGCAGTTAAATGACTCCCTCCCCGCAGATAGGAGGACACGGGGCATGAAATCGACACGCATAATGTGGAAATCGTTAGAAAGGGTTTGCGATCCACACCCCAAAGGCTGACTGATGAAGCGTCGGAAATTGCCGAAGCCAACAGCTGAGTGAGCAGTGGATGGAATGGAGTTATCGAGTGCGTGGCGGGCTGTCTTAACCTACCAGGCTGAGGGGCGTTGTGAGCGCATCTGGGGCAGAGCGCGAACATCAAACCACTCGTACTCTCATAGTAGACAGAGACGTGTGATGACCTCGTACAATGAACCAACAAATATAGCAATGAAGACTGGTAGCTCAGGTTGTTCAGATGGCTGTTGAACTGTTCGCTGAGCTTGGCAATTTTGTTGCAAACGTTTCGTCACCAATCGAGATGACATCATCAGTGCGTAGTTGTGTGGCGTGCAATAGCGTAGAGGAGCCTCTCACCGAGGCTCCTCTACGCTATTGCACGCCACACAACTACGCACTGATGATGTCATCTCGAGTGGTGACGAAACGTTTGCAACAAAATTGCCAAGCTCAGCGAACAGTTCAAAAACCATCAAATAGTAACGCGTCACTTAAAATGACACTTTGACCTGTAAGTTGACTAACATCCTGCTGGCATCTCGATAACCGCAATTATTGTCCCTTCTCGTAATAAAACCAGTGCCAATCACCTCCTGGTTCGCTTGGCCTGACGAAGCTTTCGTGTCGAACGCAAAACATTGGCCTCTAACTACACCATGAACTAGTTTGCTTTGTTCGGTCTCCTTTTCAAAGAAATATGTAACTTCTTTTGTTTTCCCAAGGTTGGGCGTTTCGGACAAAACAGCTTTGCGGGAGATGAGTGTTGAGAAAGGTAGTCAAAGCTGCCGACGATCTACGATGAGTCATTTCGTCACAGGTAGTGACCTTGTACAACCTACAATAGAGCACACCAAACGGTGGTGATATGTACCGGAACCCCATTAACGAGTTCGGCTTGCTTGTGTGCTTGTGTATCGACTCGGATGGCAATCGCACTTGCACAGGTGCTGCACAAGTCCGCAGTTTGCAAGCCGGGAAGTACTAAAATCGCCCTTGAGTAAATGTCGGCATTTTAAGGGTAGAAATTCAACTGGTGCCCCTAATGTCCAGAAGTGTATCAAGCGTCCCACGTGGATAAGTCAGCATGACGTTTAAGTTAAACCGAGTGAGAGTAAAGAGAATAATGGCAAAGTTCGTATCGGAACCTGCTTGAGATGACACAGGAGACGGTTAAGGTGCACTCTCGTTTAATCAGACAGGCGCTTAAGAGATACTGTTAGGAAGGAAATATCTAGGTAAGCAGCTGAGGTGCCGATCACTGATACAGAGCCAAAAGATGGCCAGTGAGGTGTCACTCTCGCGCATGGAGTAGACGAACATGTAGCCAACTGGGTGAACGGGCAGTTAGTACGAGAACAGCATTGGTTGATTGGTCATAAGTTGACCCTTTTAGATGTTTCCACACCAGCTCTATATACCGTTCGCGAAAGTTCCGTTTGACCTATAGATGGGACGGTGTGATCAACCAATACATCGCGCTTCTCTGCTCGTCCGAAACTGGTCTTTTCTCCTCCCTGTAGGGAGGCCAGTGGCATCGAGTTCCGATCGATAGTCAACCGTCAAAGCAGGCGAGGGACGACCAGTTCAGATACAGTAGTTGTAACTTGAAATCCCAGAAACCAACTGATTAATGGAGTTAGGATCAACAGACCCAAGCACAAAAAGAGGCTGCATAATTAGCCTATGGTGTTAAAGAAGCACACTTCTCAACAATGGACAATAGTGCAAGACTCCACGTGAGCATTTGATGATTCTTAACCTCTGTAGAACGACAAAAGACAAAAGTGCACCAGTAAAGGAGCGCAGAATGAGATGAAATAAACTGCGCTGTTCGAAAGACGGAGGAAAATCCGGGTGCACACCACTTGCCTCTTACAGGTATCAAAGTGATAAGCATCTTCAAATGATCAATGCAAAAGGAACTAACCGGAAGCGAACCAGGTATCGCCTGGTCGGAAAACATTCCGCAAAATCTTTTTATCGGAGGCCTCCTTATTCACGTAGCCATCGTAGAAACGTGAAGGATTGCGATTGTTGATGCGGCCAATCAGCTGTCCCGGTTCGTTTGGCTCACATTCAATGCACAATCCGGAGTCGGGATCTCGCACCGGCTCTTCCGTAATGGGGTCCATTTTGATCAGATAGATTGGATATATTCCCTTGATGCTTTGAGGGATAAATCCAATAGCACCAGGCTGTGAGAAGTGACGAGAGGTAAGTGAGAGTAGTGGGCAACGTGGTGGATACCGCGTGACACACAGTGCCTCAAATTTGGGAGATGCCCTGACGCACAGTCTGGGTGTAACAACCAGAGACCGTATGGCAGGATCACCTGCGTCGCGAAATAAATAAATAAACGTTTTATTCCACAACAGTGCGAGGCACAGACCAATTGGGTGGTCTTATCGACATGTACAACATGATCGCATAATATAGTTAATTTTACGTCTTTTGTTCAATGGTTCCCATATGGATTTTTGAAGTAATTAGCAGTTTGAAAATAGTAGAGCGATAAAGAAACTGGGAACAATAATAAATTTAGATTTCACGGAAACTGGAACTGTCCTCAAGGGACTTGCTTCCATGCAGGGTATTCCCACGATGGGTTTCACCCGCACTTCCTGCTCCGATTGGCTCTGTGCCTGTGTGGCAAAATAGTAAATAGGCCATCAGAACTGGGTATCAAATGTCTTCTTTTTAGGGCTGTTTTATCCTTACATTATAGGCGATGAAGCCTCAGCCCGTTCTGTCATGCGGATCAGTCAAGTATGGCACTTTTTTATTTTAACCCCGCGAGTCAGCAGTAATATGATTTGCATGGGTATACTTTTTATTTTGGAAGCTGTAATCCGTCACCACAAGAGATCATCCCAGTTATGACCAACAGTGAAACAAGGAAGAACATAAAGTATGAGGAATTATAAAACATAATAATGAATACAAACGCTTGCCGATAGGCCAATCACAATTTGATGGCTTAAGTGGGATATAGAACGCATGACATCATGCAAACGAGCTTGAGACGAGTGGTTGCTTAGCGACATTAGTGTCAGTCCTGTATGTCTGGAGTACTGCTAAATTGCGAAGGTGTTAGAACCAAAGTATCGAACTTCCGATGTCAAATACGAGCAGTACTCAGCAGTGCTCATGGTTGATGCAGTCCATTGGTACCGCGTAAAAGCAGACGAGTCAAGATATTTATACACACTAAGTCGCCATGATCGGTATCGTAATGAAAAAAGCCCTACATGATGCCATACATGTATGCGAGATAAAGATCTGTTGCAGTATTAAGTAAAGAAAAAACTGACACAGAGAGGAAATGGTAAGCACGAACAAACCGGTGAAGGTACGAACAATTGCTTACCTTTCCATCACAATTAATTATGCTGGAGTTGGACTCAGTCGCACCGTAGAGTTCACCAATGAGTGGAACTTTGAACCGTCGCTGAAACTCCGTCCATACCTCCTTGCGCAGCCCGTTGCCGAAAGCGAGGCGGACGTGATGCTGTGTATCTGTCTCTTTGGGAGGCTGTGCTACCAAGTACCGACAAACTTCGCCAATATACTGGACGACCTGTCAACAAGAAAGAAGACAACAGGCGGCACAAAAGTTCACCAGAAAGGTCTAAACGATACTGGTCAATCGGCAGTATTGAAAGACATGAAACGTTGTGGGGGTGTTCGTTGCATGAGTGCAGTTGGCTCCTTGGTTACACTGGTAAGCCAAAACCGGTAGGACGCAACCAGCGGGTGTTCGGTGTCCGGTTACGTCTGTGTGGGGAATTCAGGAGAGAATTTCCCGTAGACCCTTACACGGCCTTGGAAATCACAGTAGAGGGTCTTCAAAATGGAAAGGAGTTCAGCTGGCACGCCCTTCATGGATAGGCAGTGCCACACTTGTGCAGTCAACGGAGTCGAAGGCGGCTTTCAAGTCAAAGAAAGCTGGCCATAGTCGATCGTCTGTACGTGTGTAATAGCTCCAAAAGTTGGCGAAGAGTAAATATGTGGTCGATGCAACCACGGCCAGGGCGGAAGCTGCTGCTGCTGTTGTTGATGTAATAAATACACACAACTTTTTGTTTTAGTTGAATTAAGCCACATCTTACATGTAACATACCACGGAGGACAACGAACAAAACACGAGCAGTTGAAAATTTCGAGGGATCGAATGAGCATATTTCCATGGTTCCGACTCCCCCTGCCCTTCTACCTGTTGACCTATGTATCTGAACATATTCACATATTACTATGCGAAAGTATGAAGCATTTGTATTATACTGGATCGGGCCCTATGTGGGGTCAGTATCACGAAAAGTTGAAATATGTACTACGTATTTATCTGAGCGAATGTGGTAAGTCGTGCTACCATGACCCAAGCCTTTCAACCGAATGGCCAGTGTGATATCCAATACAGTGGACCGGCTAGAAAAGAATTAATTACAAGAATTTGAAAGGTGAAAGTAAGGGGTAAAGAAGAGAACTCGAAAGACTGATGCCACTAGCAAACTTTGTGAAATTAGCTAAAACACTGGTAAGTAAGAAGACACCACCATGGTATAAATCAAGTCAGATGACGGACTGTGAGCAGTGAACGTATTGTCTGTCAGCAGTTACACACAACCGAGTATGACAGGTGAGTCCGTGCCCCTTTAAGTAAGTGGTCACACAAAATGGAGATACGATGCGGTAAATAACCTTCGATAGCGCAAAACCAAAATGGTCAATAGGCTATCGGGTTTAGCAACAAGAAAATGTATGGTGTGCAGTTTAGCCTTGTAAAGGGTATAATCGAACAAGCGACCAGAGGATAACAGCTCTGATAAGAAAAGTAACAAGAATGTAGGATAGTCAGTTTGGAAGATGGCATGCAAGTACGAGTTCAGCATTTAAACCACAAAGCAATGTATACATTTCAGTGAATATTTCACGAGTCCATGTGACCTATAAAGTGATGTGGGGTTGGATAAAAGAATGAAATTCACAGTGATAAGTGACTTAAGAACAGATTGATTGTTCGCATTTAGCAGACGAGGTTCTCACAGGCAATCGTGTAAGATATTCAAGAAAATAGTGGTATTATTACAATATTCATGTGAGAATCTTAACAGGAAGACCTGAAATCCCACTGCAGTTATTAAAGTGGTTACTGAGGAGAAGAGATGATGCTGACGCACTCCATAACGGACCGGCCTAGTTGACTCGAACCCCCAGTAGGTGACGATTCAACAGAGCAGAGCACTAACGAACAGTAGAGTTGGTGTGGTAATGTGGTCAAAGTCTTCATGAAACGCAAGAATGACTTAACAATGATGAGGATGGAGAAACGATGTCCGTAACATGGCCTTACGAAGGGTGGTCGGATAAAGTATTTATGAGCTATTACCAGTTTTTATCGATAATTTACGCCGGATCATATGGAGGTTAAGAATCGAGACGCAGGTTGCCAAGGTGAGCTAGATTTTCATGAATGTAGGTTCAGCGCCAGAGACATTTTCCGATAAAATGAAATAATAAACACCGGAGTCATTCCCCAGTTGAAGAGTATAAAGCGCAGAGACATCATTAAAAGCGTTACCTCAGCCATTTGAACTGACGCTTCGATTCCGTACAACTACGGTGACATATGGAATAAAGAAAAAACAATAAGGGAGAGAACGGGGATCTAGCGTAAAACCTTAATGCCCTCAGCGAACATTCAGGGTCAGGGCGCCCAGACCTTGTATCAACAGGTGGCCACCGCAACCGCAAGATACTCCGTATGCTTCTAACGATAAAGTGGAGATAACACCACTCAACATTCGGCTCGCTCAAATGCGTCACTCCAAGAGAGCAAAATATTAACATGGCCGGGGGAAGAGGAGCTATGCTCGTACTCAACAAAGCGCGGTCGGAATTTGAGCAGTTGAGGCAGAATGACAATCTAAGAGCAACGTGTTATCTGCAACTGATTAAAGTATAGTTGATTGGGGTCTCCAAAGCGGTTTTCGGTTCCGCAGGCGCCATATAACAAGATGCGAGCGTGTGGAAAACCGGTGCTTATGATATGCAGATGTATCGACACTGCCGTGGAAACCGTCGGGTGGCAAATATCAACCCTGAGATGGCATCTTAGGTGGACTATCGAACGTTCAACAAGCCAACGCGTGATCCCATGCCACTGCTGCTGAAAATTCCAATGAAGAATCCAAGTCGATGATGGAGTGCGTCACTAATGGTTCAGGGGCAAACTTGTTGAAGGGTACAAAGGAATATCAAAGCCGCAAAAAATCTCATGTGTAGCCAGGTTGATCTCGGTGTCGTACACTATTCGGCTTCACAATCCGGTGACAACTGGAAGAAGGTCGCAAACAGAGGTTTCGAATGTTGTGGTTAATACGACGTTCTTTCGGAGCCCAGACGGGCAGCGTCTTTACGAGACAGTTCTCGGCTTCGTTCAGTCTCGTCTGGAATACTGCATCCAGGCTGGTTTGCCCTCCCTTGTCCGGGTGGGTAGTAGGTTAATTGAGGGATTACGATGACGGAGGTACTCCGAGCATATACTTAGTTTGGGAATGCATTCAATACACTACCGATGGCTTAGAGGAGACCTAATCCTAACCTATCTTAACTGGGAATGTTGCTCCAGATTTAACTTGGCTATTCAGCAGTAACGAGACTGGACTTTAACGTGGTGCAACGGTTTGCGTACCTCCTTGACCCATTGAGCTAAAGTGGGTACCGCTTGCAGACAACTTGAGAGATACTTCTACCAGGTTGGCCAATGGTGAGAGGTCAGACAAACTCAGTCTCCTGGTCCTCCAGGTACGGGGTACGAAATGGGATGGCGTCCATTTCTGTAAAACTAAATCACTACCACCTCCCTGCTGCCTTGCGGACAGGCTTTTGAGCCAAAGGCTTTAATTGAAGATCATAATCGTCATCCTGTCTAGGTCTCGGCACCCTGACAGTATGTCAGCCCACATACAACCATGACATTTTTTTCAAACATAAAATCCATCCTGCATCGGCTGTCGCGCAGATTATCAAGGGTCGCCTTATCTGCTGCATACAGCAGGGCGAATAAGCGAAAACATGCTACTGCTGGCGCCTCCCTTCTTTTTTCTCCACCTGGTTCTCGTGCTCCCACCACGACCCCATTACTGACCTTTCTTCTTTAATTCCCAGCTTAATTGACAGCAACCGAAGTGCCACTGGAGTCACAGAATCTGTAGACACCCCTGCGACCCGCACCGGACATATATAGGCAACAGTCACTTATAAGGCCACGCTGTCCCGTTTCCACGGCGACGTTCAACGTTCGCACCCTAAGAAAAACAGGTCAACAGGCTGCACTCTCACGCACCTTGGATACACTGGGTGTAGATGTGTGTTGTGTGTCCGAAACTAGGAGTAATGACCCTAACGGGGTTATTGAATTGACTGCACCCGGCTTATCCTCTCGTTATTGGTTGCACGCATCCGGAGACGCCGATGCGGCACTCACCGGTCAAGCTGGTGTAGGTATTATTCTAAGCTCCAGGGCTGAGCCATCCTTGGTTGATTGGATTCCGGTGAACAGCCGTTTATGTGCAGCCTGCTTGACGACATCAGCTAGGGTTGATTCACGAAGTAGTACAAAACGCTGTTTGTTCGTGATTTCCGTTTATGCTCCTACCGACTGCAGTTCTAACGCTGTCACGGACACATCCTATCATGAACTGAACACGCTACTAAGCAGTGCTACTATTTCAGATATTACAGTACTTGCAGGGGATATGAACGCACAAGTAGGGCGTCTCAGCTCTTCAGAAGCTCAGCTGGGTGATAATTATGGGCTTAACTCCGAACCGACTGACAACGGCGAGCGTCTGCTGCAACTGTGTGCGGAGCAGCACTTGTTTCTTAGTAGCACTGCTTTTAGGCCCTTGGCATCCTCCTGTAGTTCGCCAGCGATGGACCCAAATTGACCACATAGCAATAAGTTACAGGTGGAGTGGTTCCATCCTGGATTGCCGCTCGTACTGGAATACCTGTGTCGACTCTGATCATGCCTTGGTACGCTGTCGTTCTTCCATGAACTTTACCGGGAGGAGCATCAAGCGTCTCCTTCGACTGGCAACTGAGAAATTGTCTCAGCCGCCGGTCTGGCAAGCCTATAAAGACGCACCGCATACAGAACTTCGCTGTCTTGTCCTAATGACACTGAGCATCAGTGGAATCGGATCTCAGCCACCATGCACGAGGCAGGAGCATCTACTTGTGGCATTATCAATCGCCACCGAACCGGTCACTGGATTTCCGAGAGGTCGGCGAACCTGTTGGAATCTAGAAGAAAGCTTCCAGCTGGCACTAAGCACAATGTGACCAGAGGGGCTATTAGGCGAAAACCAAAGTGGAGCCTACGTGCTTGGTGGACCAATAGGGCTCAAGAAATGGAGGAGGCAGGAGCAGTACGTAATTACCGCAAGCTGATCCGCACCAGTGGACCCAGGAAACCAGGCGTCAGTGACACAATCAGGGACAGCGCAGGTGCACTGATACACAACAAGGTACGCCGTACGGTTCGTTGGGCGGGACACTTTCAAGATCAGTTCAGCTGGTCCCCTGCTCCCGGACCTCTTCCTACTCAGGTGATGCAGGACAAGCCATGGACGGTTAGTTTAAAGCCTCCGTCGGAGGCCGAGGTCCGAAACGCGATCACAGCCCTCAATTGTTTTCGTGCCGCTGGCCCGGATTCCCTACCACCTGCACTATTTAAGGATAGAAATGAGGTCCTCTGTAAAGCACTGACCGCCTTATTCGGACGTATCTGAAAGCAAGAGTGTCCCGGATAATTGGAGCGGGTGGCAATATACCAGAAGGGCAGTCGCACAGACTGTTCTAACCACAAGGAAATTAGCGAACGCCAGTTGTGACAAAATTACTGGCCTCGATTCTTGTTCGTCGCCTCACTGTGGAACGGGAACCTCGGATTAGGGAAGGGTAGGCCGGTTTCCGCTCAGAGCGTGGCTGTATAGACCATATATACACCTTGCGGCAGGTGCTGGAGCAGCACCACATGTGCCGCAGACCGACAATAGCAGTGTTCTCCGACTTCAAGAATGCGTTTAATTCAATCGATCGATGGATTCCGTTCGACATACTTGCGCAGAAAGGTGTTCCCACGAAATATGTGAACATCTTACGTACTGTAAACACGAACACT